TTCTTTTTTGTATTTACTGTTCAGGCAATTTTGGCAAAAAAAAAAAAAAAAATCACCAAATGTGTATGCCAATATGGGCATACCCCAAAATCGCGAAAGCATCAAACATGGGCTATTCACCATTCTTAAGAACGTAATGGGCCAAAATTGGCAGTTCGCCATTTTGCCATCTTGCCGCACGGCCTACTGGGCCAACCCAGTTAATCAAATTTTTCCGAAAATGTGCCCCGTGCGAGGGTAATTTTTTTTTTTTTGCCTCACCGCGCGAAACGCGCCGCTTTCCGCGTATGCACTCGCGGTGAGCAAAGAGATGCAAAATATAAAGCATAAAATGTAAAATATATAAATTTGTATATTAAATATATGCACGCATATGGGGCGATGGCGCGGTGGCACGCCCGCGTGTGCATCCTAGTACACGCATACAAACGCGCAGATACACGTGTACATATTTATATATATATATAAATTATATAATTTGTGCGTGCTCCCGAGCGTGCGCCCACGGCATAATCGGCCAGTTCACGTTCAGCTTCGCGCTCCAGATGATGCCCTTTTATTAAAGGAATATACCCTCCCACCCCTGTGCGCCCAACCCATGCGGTTTAGCGTACCTTTTTCGGGGTCATGATCCCTTCTCGCGTTTTTCCTACGATGTCACGTTCCCGCGATTTTGGTGCAATGCGGGGGGGAGGGAAAAAGTGCATGTCCGCGAGCATACGCACGGGAGAAGGTGGAGAAACGGATACCCAGTCCGCAGCGTATTCCCCTCAGTGGAAAAGAAAACCCTACCTTCACCCGTGCATACGCGCATAAGCGCATTTATATATATTCGTTTACCTTTATATATGCATGCCTACGTGTAAAACATTTTATATAGCGGCGGATCCGGGGTATATACCCCTGCTCTAGAGTTTTTTCTTCACAAAAATCGCAAAACGCCGTGCGGGGAGTGTGTGCGCCGTGAAGCATGCACATATAAATGTAAGTATATATAAATGTAAATATATATAAATCTAAATATATATAAATCTAAATATATATAAATGTAAGTATATAACAATGTATGTATATATAAATGTATGTATATATAAATGTATGTATATATAAATGTACATTATATGTACACACGTACTTGTAACACTCAGTGTGCACGGACTCATGAACGCCACTTTGCACACACGCAATCTCGCATGCCAGCATGACACCATTTGGTACCCCTTCGTGCACAAACGGAATGATACGATTCGCTTTCCCATGTGGAAAAAGAAATTAGCACAACTACACATAGCTGAGATGATACGTATGAACATTTATATATATTGCTTAGACGTTCTTCCCAAAAAAACACACTGCCCTTTTTTTTTTTTTTTTGTGTATACCCCTTTGGACACCTTTGTTCCCTACCCCCCGCTCTCCTGTCCGTTCCTCGTATTTTCGCCCCCTCTTCAGGTATTTTTATTCCCCCTTTTGTTGTACTTCACCAAATGCGCCTCGCGGTTTAACCTGTTCATTACGGCTTCTTTAAAAGAGTAGCGTAGCGCCATCTTGACCCCTCCCGTGTGCACAACAGAGGGGCAAATGAGGTACTATCCCAGTTTTGTTCTCTCAAAATGGATGAAAGTAACTTTTTTTTTTTTTTTTTTTTTTGAAACGTCTCTTTTGTCTTTGTCAAGAATACTCAATTTGGCAGCATTCCGGCGGAGTTGTGACGGGTCAGACTAATGCTCCCCAAGAGTGCATACCCATGCCAGGGGCACACCTATGCATATAGCGGATGTCTCTGTGCGTAAGGATACAACTGTTTTAATAGTGTACCTATACCAAGGCCAGCGCACCCCTTTGTGTGAAGTTCGTACATCACTTATATTTCCATTAGACCCATACAAACATGTGAAACCTCGCAGATGAGAAAAAGGTATCAGGTGTGGTGGCGAAAAGAAATACGTTAAGGAATGACGAATGGGGCGACCTTTTCTAGCGGCGTTCCAACATCGTTTTGCCTTGGGGTGACTGCACGAAGTTCATTCATAAATGGGGGGAGCAACCCAACCTTGCAGACTTTCGAAATACTTTGCCCATGCGTATCCACGTGTGTATATACATGTGGGTGTGGTCAATGGGCAAAAGGGCTAAAGCGTGGGAAAGCTACTTCCTGCAATATGTTACATGTTGATCATTACACGGGAATTCTCAATGAATTAGTAAATTTTCAAGTTCCTTTTATTAACGTATTTTTTTTTTTCATTCCGGTGGAAAACTAGCTGAAACGAGCTAGCCATTTTGTATTTTTTTTTTTAACATCTTGGCTATCTGGTTTTAAAAAAAAAAAAAACATCCCAAAAGTTTTTTAAACTCTACCCGTCCATCACCAC